TGTGTGTGTGTGTGTGTGTGCACACAAGTGAGTTTTGTGGTGAAGCCAAGATAGCACCCTTGAGTCTCTGTATCGAAGTTCTCTTTCTCACATGTAAGTGACTACTAAGAACGGAATATGTTACACGTTTTTGGTAGAGATGCCAGATAAAATACAAAATCCCAGCTAAATGCAAAATTAGATAGAGGGGGAAAAGATTTGAGTTAAAAGTATATCTCAAATATTGCATGGGACACAATTATTGTAAAAGCTGATTCCCTGTTTATCTGTAATTCTAATTCAATAGAGTGCTTATTATTATTTGCTAAATCTGGCCACCCTATTGGACAGGGTCCCTTGAATTGTAAAGGACTGTAGCACTTCTTTTTCTAGGAATCTAGCTCCCAGAAATAAGGACAGGAGCCACATTACCAGAACAAAGACAACCACTGTGCATATCCACACGTATTTTGGAACCTATATCAACATTTTTTTTAAGATTTTATTTATTTATTAGAGAGAGAGAATGAGAAACCGAGAGCACGAGAGGGAAGAGGGTCAGAGGGAGAAGCAGACGCCCCGCCGAGCAGGGAGCCCGATGCGGGACTCGACCCCGCGACTCCAGGATCATGACCTGAGCCGAAGGCAGTCGCTTAACCGACTGAGCCACCCAGGCGCCCCCTCTATCAACTTTTAACCAGAGAGAAATATGCTTTCATTTTTCAAAAAACAGAAATAGCTTACACTTACTTTTTGCGGCACATCTCTAAAGATCTGAACGACACAGGTAGCACTGGTTTCCTGTGAGAAAGGGGCTGGGATGTCAGGGGTCGGAAGTGGAAGAGGCGTCACTGCATAGTCCACTATATACAGTTTGACTTTGAACCAAACAAAGGAATTGCTTTTTGAACGTGTCTACTAAAATAATGAAAGAGGTTAAAAATCAATATCAAACAACAGCGTGATATGCCAGGGAAGGAGACGTCGTGTTTCTGGTCTTGTATGGTAGGCTCCACGTCCTCTCTCTGAGAGACGGGCATTCCGGCAAAGGGCATCCTAGTAAGGCCGGTCCTGCTGGAGTCTGCACGGCTTCGAGCACTGCGGGGCGCTGGGCACAGAAGCACCCACAGCAGAAGACTGATGTGCAGCCAAACCCACGGGATCTGCTGGCACAATGCTGATTTGAAACCCTCAGTTCCATGTGGCCTTAAGGACCCATGTGTTCGTCAGAATATCCGTTCTGAGTTTTGTCCAGAAAGCTCAGCCCCTGTTGAATAAGTCAAGAGCCAGATAGGAAGCGGAGTGGGTCGAGGACGCAAACCTAGGTTGCTGGATACAGAATCGAACCAAAGGAGCACCGAGTCACACCTTGGTGCTGTGAATCTGGAAAACAGTGTATAAACGGCCTGGAAAGGCACCCCCCAATCGTGTTGTCTGTATCATTTGAAAGGAGCTTGGGGTTCTGGCCTACCTGCCAGAGCCTGACTCATGGAATGTCTGCCCACCCCCACCCAGGTCAGTGGCCCTCCGCCCCTCCCCCGTTGAAGAATGTCATGAGTCTGCATTCTGCCCCTGTTTAGATTCAAACTTTTCCCTCCTTGACTTGGATCCTGAGCATCTCCTGGAGCAGCTCGCTGTGTGGGTCCTGGACGTGACTTTTCTCACTGTGGAGGCTGCCAGGCAGCCACATCCCCTGCCCGTGGGGATGGCTTCAGAAGGAGGTAAGCCTGTAGGTGCGGTTGGACGTGTCAGAGTGCCGGCCATTCCTGAAATCCTTGGGATTCAAACGTGACACTGGCTAGGGGCACTTTAGGCGGGGTTGGTACAGGAAGGGGAGCGCACTGGACACCCAAGCACAGCTCACCTGGGGGACTAGGAGGCTGGGAGTCCGCAGAAACCTGCAAGGACCCTGGGGAGGAGGGCTCCTCGAAGGTGGGTCAAGACCTGGCAGGGGCAATGCCCCGTGTGTGGAGAAAGGATGGTGGCAGGAGCACTGATTCTCTCTGGAGGCCGAGAATCACTTGGACAGTTTGAAGGGTGAGGTGGGAGTGTGTCAAGCTGGTGGCACAGGCAGGGGCCGGGGGAGAGGCGGTCTTAGCCAGAACGTTGTTCCGTGGGGCCGTCTGTGGCCAAGTGTGCAACGACGTGTCCTCTCCGAGACCTGGGCTGGAGGTCAGTCTGACACCCCAGCCCAGGGCTTCCAGTCCTGCCAGCCTAGAGCTGACGTGCCCCCAGGCCAGGTAGCCCTGGTGTTGGATTCAGCAGGGTCAGGGCACCAGGTGGCCTCAGGGTAGGGCTTGGGTTCCTCAGCTGCTCTGGGTCACTCTCCCTCTTGAGGAGACGCAGTTCGCACCTGCTTCCTCTTGTCCTGTTTCCGGGCGTAACCTCAGCACCGGGTTCTACCTTTGAGATGACGAGTCTGCTTGAATCCACGTCCCTGCATCCTGGACAGGGAACAGAAGTACAGTGTGGTCGGTTATCCTGTGGAGCCTCCATGAAGCCCGAGTCCTCTTTAAAGAGGGATAGGGGAGGAGCCTGGAAGGGGACGATGACCGTCTGTGTTTCTACTAAACATCCGAGGACACCTGTCCTTATGTGAGGTGCACAGGTGTGTACCTTGTCCTCCTGGACTAGGATCTGCATGGGTTCCTCACGAGCAGACACCTGTTTCCAGACACCTTGTTCTGCCGGCACTGGCCTCCTGCTTGGTTCCTAGTCATCTTCACGTTCCCCGGAGGGAGCTGCAAGGGGAGGTCCACAGGCAGTCTGCACTCCCACGAACACTCCCAAGGGACGGCAGCTCTGGAAACTGCCCCTGGCGGCCCCGGGGCTCCCCACCCCATGGCTCTTGGCTACTGTCCTACAGCCATCGCTAGCTGTGAGTGACAGAAACTCGGGGAGCACACACCTGCGCCCCAGACCCCTGTCCCGGGAGCAGAGCCGCTGCATGCAGGCAGACCCTGGCCCTGTGTCCTGTGTGTGTGGGGATGGATCTGAGATGGGCTCCCGTCAGGGTTTGGAGGGAGCTTTCGTGGCAGAGCTAGAGGTCAAGTGTTCCTGTTGCGTTGTGTTGGGCCAGGAAGATAAGGGAGGGATTCATAGGGAGCGTCAGGAACAGGAAGGCTAGCAGGAGAGGGGCCCGAAGCTTTAGACGCTGTCTGTTCACAGAGGCCCTTTGGGTGCCGAGGAGGAACCTTGGAGGGGGTCCCCAGCTGTCAGGGAGCCTGCTGAGGCCATTTCCCACAGGGCAGGTGTCCAGCCAGGCCCACGTCTTGGGAGCCTGCCCCTGAGGCTGGAGGGTCATGTCTGGGGGTCCGTGGGAGGTTCTCAGAGACCGTGCTGGCCCAGGCTGCCTCTTCTGGGCAGACAGGCTGTCTTGGTGGGAGGGGCGGGGGCGGTAATTCTCTGCTGCAGGCCAGAGCATGGAAATCACTCGGGGAGACTTGCCAACTGCACCTTTTCTGTGATGTCCCTCGCGCGACGAGATTCACCGCTCTGCTCCCCAGTGACCGAGGGGGCCCGGGTCCTCCCTCCCGGCTACGGATTCTCTGACTCCATCTGGTCCTTTCCTTCCGTCCACAGCATCTCCAGTGCTGGGACCCCATGTGACCACGGACCCGGGAGCCTCCATGTCTTCCGTCCCGTCTCGGCCCTTTCCTGCCCCCACTCCCGCCCCGCCCCAGCGGCCACTCTGGGGGCAGCACCCACCGCCCCTCCTGACCCCGCCGTTCCCTCCCGGTGGCCCCCTGGTGCTGCCAGCCCTCCCCAGCTCACCGCTGGCGGCAGGAGAGCCTGGCCTTGGCCCCAGTGGGACCGGGACCCACAGTGTCATTGTCCAGGTCAGGTCAGAATGGGGGTCCTCAGAGACACCCCAGACTCAGACCATTGTCCTTACTCAGGCCCCCCTCAGCTGGAGTGCTCCAGGGGCCCTCTGTGGGGGTGCTGCATGTCCCGCACCCCTCTTCGTGGCAGCCTCTGTGCTGGAGACCAGCATGCCTGCCTCGGCCTTTGGGGGCCCCCAGGCTGGCAAGGGAGGCTTGGCCCCAGGCCTTCCAGCCCCAGCCCCGCCCCCGGCTGCCCAGCCGACCCCCATCGTGTCCCCAGTGAATGCGGGGCCACAGCCTCACGGAGCTTCCAGGGAGGGCAGCCTGGCCAGGAGCCCAACCAAGGCCTCGCCCGAGGACTCCTGTAACCCCAAGAGTGTTTACGAGAACTTCAGGCGCTGGCAGCGCTTCAAGTCGCTGGCCCGGAGGCACCTCCCGCAGAGCCCCGATGCAGAAGCTCTCTCCTGCTTCCTCATGTGAGTGTCCTCTGCTCTCCTGCAGCTCTCACGCAGGACGACCTTGGGGTGCTGCACACAGGGCGGTGATCCAGGGGCGCTGGGAGGAAGGTGTGGGGCCGGGTCCCTGCTCTGGGAAGACACATTCTGGTCCAGGACAACTTTCGGTCGCCCACCTCGGCGGAACCCCAACCGTCGGGGAGTCCAGCCAACCTTAACCTTCCAGAGGCATTACGGTGGCATTCGGGGGGCACTCACAGGCAGAGAGGGTCCCGGTGTCAGAGGAGGAGCCATTGTTTGGGTGCCAGGCTCTCTGTCATCGTGTCTCCTGGGAACACAGGCTGGGGCGTCTCATGGCCAGGGGCCGGCACACCAGAGGAGGCTCGGGACCTGCGGGGCCCAGCAGAGGCTGCGTGCAGCCCCACGCACGTTGTCCCGGAGGATTCCAGTCAGAAGGGGAGGGGGCAGAGCTGGTGTAGTGGGGAGGGCGTGGGATCCCGCCTGCTGAGCTGTGACCCGGCAGGCCTGGCCGTGGCATCTGGGGTCCCTCCTGGACATGGGGTGACGGCGCTTCCTGCAGAGGCCTGGGCTCATTGCCGGCAGTCACCTGCCAGCACGCGGTCATGCTGGGGGCGGGGGGCGGGGGGACGTGGGCTCCAGAGGAGCCGGGGAGGCTGGGGGTGACGGACTGCAGCCGGCCCCTGACCCCGAGGGCTTGCAGCCCGGTGCTGCGGTCCCTGGCCCGCCTGAAGCCCACTATGACGCTGGAGGAGGGAGTGTGGCGGGCCGTGCAGGAGTGGCAGCACAGAAGCAACTTCGACCGCGCCATCTACTACGAGATGGCAGGGAAGTGAGTCGGGGTCTCTGGCCTGGGGCTGGTGGGTGTGAGGGCCGGGCCGAGGGCAAGGTCTGACTGTGCTGATGCTCATCACAGAGGGCTGCCCTCACCTACCTCCCTGGGAGTTCCACCCTCCCCTGAGTGGGACCCACCCCTGCCTCCATGGGAAGGTCTTGGGAAGGGCTGGGAGATCCTGAGACCCCCCTCGCCTGGGGTGGGACTCCCTCCGAGGGGGCTGTGGAGGGGATGTGCTGGACAGCCAGCCGGCTGCCTCCTTGGTGGCCGGGGCCACGGCCGCCCCTCCAAGGCACTGCCTCTCCCGGTTCCTCAACCGGCTGCTGGCTTTGCGGGCTCCAGGGCCGGGTCCCCTCCTCAGTGCGGCCCGGGCCTCCTCACCCCCAGGTTCATGGAGTTTGAGCTGGAGGAGGAGATGCAGATTCAGAAGTTGCAGTGGGTGAAGGTGGCCCAGGGCCTGCCTCCTCCAGCCCTGCCGAAGCCTGAGCCGCGGGCGCCCCCAGCCCCAGAAGCGGGCCCACAGCCAGGTACGGCCCCCACGTTCCCATGGCAGCTGGTGGCCCATGGCAGTGGGGGCTGAGGGAAGGCCACTGTCCCCATATGCGTCTCCTCCTTCAAGGGGACAGTGGTCTTTTGACCAGAGCAGCCACCAAGAGCCTGGGGCCTCAGCTGCCCTTTGCCAGGACAGGTGTTGACTGGGTGAATTTCTTCACTACTCTCCCGCCTCCTGTCAGGGGACCCAACACAAAGTCTGCCTGGGAAGTGGGCTGTGGGGAGACCCTTGGAGGATCGGTGGGTCCACACTTGCTCACACATATCGCTCTGAGACTCTCCTCCTCTCCCCTCTGCCTGTCCCACGGTGCCTGTGGCCTCGGGTGGCCGTGACCCATCCCCCACTGACATCCGCGTCCCCCAGACACTGCCGTCCCGATGCACTGCTGGAGTCCCTCACGCCCCCTCCCTCCTCCCGCTCTGCCCCAGCGTGCATTCCCAGGAAGGCGGGTTCCAGGGCCCAGGCCTCCCGCCTGCAGCCACACAGACCCCCACGGCCCCTGGAGAACAAGGCGCCCAAGGAGATCCCCCCTGAGGCCGTGAGAGAGTACGTGGACATCATGGAGGGGCTGCTGGGGCCTGGCCACTCAGCCCTAGGGGGGCCAGCAGGTGAATGGGGAGAGGACGGAAAGGAGCCACAGCAGGATGAGGCCACGACCTACCCGGACCCGGGTCTCCTGAGCTACATTGACAGGCTGTGTTCCCAGGAAGACTTCATCACCAAGGTGAGCTGGCCTGGTGTCTAGAAGATTCCAGGGAGGGCGCCTGGGTGGCTCAGTTGGTTAAGCGACTGCCTTCAGCTCAGGTCATGATCCTGGAGTCCCAGGATCGAGTCCCACATCGGGCTCCCTCCCCCTCTCATGCTCTCTCTCTCCCTCATTCTCTCTCTCAAATAAATAAATAAATAAAATCTTTACAAGATTCCAGGGATTGGCACTCCAGCGCTCCGGTCGGGGCTGCGCCCGGGCCTTTGGCACTAAGCTCTGTTCCTTGCTCCTGAGCTGTGTGTGTGTGCATGTGTGTGCGCTTGTGTGTGTGTGTGTCTTTTGTGTGACTCTCTGTGGGCCTGTGTGAATGTGTACGTGTGTGTCTACATGTTTGTGTCTGTGCACAGGTGGTGTGTGCACATTCCTGTGTGTGTGCACGTGTGGTGTGTGCACATTCCTGTGTGTGTGCGTGTGTGTCCCTGTGCATGCGTGTGTGTGCCTGTGTTACTGCGGGTTTGTGCACATACGTGTTTGTGGCGTGTCTGTACATGCATGTGTGTCTACATATGCACGTGTGTGTTTGTGTCTGTGTGTAAACGTGCCTTTTTGTGTTTGTGCACATACGTGTTTGTGTGTGCATGTGCGTGCGTGCACATGATCCTGTGTGTGCCTGCGTGTGTGTGTGTGCCTGATGTTGCAGACATGTGTGCATACTGGCGTGTGTGTGTGCGTGCGCGTGTGCCTGTGTGTGTGTGTCTGTTGTGGCCTTTTGTGTATGTTCATGGGTGTGTGTGTGTGTATCTGTATGTGCCTTTCTGTGTGTGCACATATGTGTTTGCAGCATATGTGTGTGGTGCGTGTGTACACATTGTGTCGCTTGTACACCAACGTTTGCATGTATGACCGCGTGCATGTGTGCGTGTGCACCCATGTATATATGCCTGTGTGTCTTTGTGCACATATGTGTTTGGTGTGTGTGCATATGTACGTATGTCCAGGTTTTGTCTCTCTGTGTACGCATATGTGGGAATGTGTGTCTGCACGTGTCTGTGTGTGTGTGTGTGTGTGTGTGTGTGTGTGTAGCCAGTGACTGTGATGTTAAAACCTACCTTTTGGAGAGGGATGGGTGGGTCTTCACTTTTCCACGTTTCCTGCAGGTCCTCCTGGCTCACAGGTGGCTCCCTGCCAAGCATGCCCACAGCCTCTGTCTTCTGTTCCAGGTGGAGGCAGTCATCCACCCCCGATTCCTGGCAGAATTGCTTTCCTCAGAACCACAGCTGGACCTCCTGGCCCTAGCTGAGAAATTGGAGCAGGAGGAAGGACTCACCCTTGCAGAGGTGAGCCAGGGGAAGGAGGGAGGGGTCCCAGGTGAGCCACGGAGAGAGGGGACCCAGGGGAGCCAGGAGAGAGAGGGGACCCAGGGGAGCCAGGAGAGGGAAGGGACCCAGGTGAGCCAGGACAGGGAGGGGACCCAGGTGAGCCAGGGGAGGGAAGGGACCCAGGTGAGCCAGGAGAGGAGGGGACCCGGGTGAGCCAGGAGAGGGAAGGGACCCAGGTGAGCCAGGAGAGGGAGGGGACCCAGGTGAGCCAGGAGAGGGAAGGGACCCAGGTGAGCCAGGAGAGGGAGGGGACCCAGGTGAGCCAGGAGAGGGAAGGGACCCAGGTGAGCCAGGAGAGGGAGGGGACCCAGGTGAGCCAGGACAGGGAGGGGTTCCAGGTGAGCCAGGGGAAAGAACCGACACAAGTGAGCCAGGGGGGCGGGGCAGAATAAAGGCCCACATGACTCTGTCCCCCTTCCCTTCTTGCGAGTCCCAGCACTGGGGAGGCCAGCTCTGGGTGGGTACAGGGCAGAGCATGGGAAGGGGAAGGTGGGGAGCCTGGGAAGGGAGGGAGGGACTCAGGAGGATGTCAGGAGAGCCACAGCCTCGTGGGTCACCCCTCCCCTCCTCTCCCAGGGCCACTGTCCCTCCTACCCGTCTCATACCCCTGTGCTGGCCAGTCACTGTCACCTCCTTCCTCTCAGCTGGTGAAGAAAAGACTGGTGGCCTTGAAGGCGGAGGAGGGTGTGCAGGCAGCCCCCCGTCACCGCGCAGCCCGGTCGGGCCGTGGTCCTGAGTGTGAGGCCGGTCCCGGACTGGGGCTGGGGGTCAGCAACAAAGCCTGCCCAGCAGAGACTGACGGCCAGGACCTTCAGAGGCACGGCCGAGCACGCACACACCTGTCTGGGCCCAGAGCCTTTGCGCTCTCTCCCGGAAGGCAGGAGTCCCCTGCACCCCCGGCCGGATGGCCCCCCTCCCCTCCCCGGGGTCAAAGGTGCAGCTCCGCTCGACCGGGCCGCAGGGACGCGCCCGTTCTCAGAGAGGCCCCTCCTGCTCGGGACACTCGAGGGCCAGTGGACGGGTCCAGTGAGGACGAGGAGGAGCTCCCCAGCCTGGCCTTCCTCCTGGCCTCTCAGCACAGCCTGCTGCCCTGGGGGCTCTCCCAGAGTCCCGCTCCTGCCTCAGGCCTCCCCAGCCCTGGAGGTCGGGGGCCGTGGGGGGCTCCCCGGGCCCCCTCTCCTCAGAGGATAGGCCTCAGCCCGGCCACCCCCCCAGCTACCAAGTCCAGGAAGCGGGCTCTGTGTGGGGGCCCAGCCCCTGCTGGCAAGACGCCCCTCCCTGGGGCCAACCTCAGGGGCTCCGCAAGGCCGGCCTTGGCCATGGGGCTGGTTCACCCCTCACAGCCTGCAAAGAGAAGGTGTGACTCCTTTGTCACGGGCAGGAGGAAGAAGCGGCACTGTAGCCAGTAGGGAGCAGTGGGGCCGCCCTCCAGGGCCAGCGCACCCCAGGGCTCCTCCTCATCCCGGTGCTGATCCTGGCTGTGGGGCTCAGGGAGGGGGGGGCAAGACCGTGGGGGCGGGTGGCAGCCGCCCACTGGGGCACTGTGTGTAAATTGGGAATAAAGATGGTTTTGCTGGGAAATGTTCGGGGCCACTGTCTTCCTGCTGGCATCTGTGCTTCTGCATGGAGAGGGGCCGGCCTCCTGGGGCTCCCGTCACCATCGGGACCCCTGAACGTCCAGGGATGGGGGGCCCTCTGCACCATGGCCGTTTCTGAGAATGGAGTCTGCAGACAGCCCCGTCTTCGGGGGCTCCCCGCTGCCTCCCCGAAGCGTCCAGCCACGGGGCTGGCCGGGCTGGTGACCCTCAGCCCCTCCAGGGCTCCCTGTGTGGGGGCCTGAGCAGACAGGCTCTGGGCCTCTGGCCTCGTGGTGGGAGGAGCGTCTTCCAGTCCCAGTGGGATCATTGAAATAGGCGGGACGGTGGGGGACCCTCCTCATCCCAGGAGGACGGACACGGGGAATGGATGAGGGCAGACTCGGGGGCACTGGCCACGGTGTGCACACAAGAACGCCAGTCGTGGGGCAGACACCAAGTCCCTGGGCGGGATTCCTGGGCCAGACCGACTTCTCCAACCATGCGAGGGGCCCACCTTGCTGTGGACGCAGAGCGAGGGGCCTGGCCAGGGTCCCTGGGTCTGCGAAGACACCCCACACTTACGGCCTCCCTTCCCGCCCTCGAGGGACCCCTGTGTGAACAGATGTGGACGCAGACTCTCATTCTCACGTGAAACGGCTCCTACAAACAGACCCCACCCACCACGCAGGAGCACAGCCCACCACGGGGGCCGTGGGCCCAGGCATCTGCAGCCCCAGGGCCGGGTGGGAGCTGGGCTCCAGGCTGAGGGGAGCCCTCCTGGGGCGCTGGCACAGACCCCACGTCAGATAGGCCATCTGCCCGGCTCGTGACAGCGCGATGAGCCGACACTGAGGGGCAGGAGCTCCACAGCGAAGGGGCCCTGCTGCCCCCACAGCTGCCTGCCCCCGCGGTCCGCTCCCCTCCCCTCGTGGGTGAGCTGGTGCCCTCAGCCCCCCGCCCCGCCCCACCCAGATGCTCTGATCCCAGCAGCAAGCACCCGCACCTTCACCCTCCTCCCTCCCAGCCAGCGCCTCCTCCCCAGGTGCTAGGTTCTGATGCCTTTTCCAGGTTTGGGCGAGGCCCCTACAGCGCTCGCCACTCACAGATGTGCGTCCCTGCAGCAGCGGGGCTAAGGCCATCCGGGTCCAAGGGACACCTGGCCCTCTGCTTGCCCCCCTCCCACCGCCGCCCCCCCCCAGCAAAGAGCTCAGGCAAGAAAGGGACTCACGCCGGGGTCCTCGTCCCGCTCCACAGAATCCACAGGCCACCCCACAGGTGCTCTTCCGCTGCCTTCCCTCCCTCCCAGGCAGGCGGCTCTGGAGTGCTCCCCACCCTCCCGCCCCTTCCTGAAGCAGAGGTTTCATCTTGGCCGCACTCCCCCGCGGCTGCCCTTCCCTGTCCAGCCTGGCCTCCCCAAGACGAAGGGGCTCAGGGGCCCAGCCAGACGCAGACAGAGGTTGCCACCCCTGCGCGTCACCCCACTGTGTCCCTGTCCGTGGTGTGCGCTCAGCAGGCGCTGGATGCTAACGGCGTGGGCGAAGATTCGCCTGCGTTCCTCGGAAAGTCCAAGGTCAGTCCAGTGGCAAGGAAAAAGATGGAGAAACGTTTCAGATTTTCACGGCAGCCAACCTTCCTCATCACAGAACAAGTTAGGAGAGGTGAAAGCTCGCGGGGACCGTGTGTAGGGCAGAGTCGGGAGGGAGCTCCTGGTAAGTGGGAGGAATCTGCGGTGATGGGGAGGTCACCCCGCGGCCCCCGGGGAAATCGCGATGCTCACACAGAGCGGGGCCAGCTGTGCTCTGCCGTCCAGTGGGGCAGCTCCCGGTCAGCTCGCTGGGTCTCCACAGAGAGCCTGCGGGGAGCCAGGCCTCACGCTTTCCCGAGAAAGCTCCCGTGGGCTCTGGGAGGCCTGGGGACTGAGGGCAGTCACGGGGTGGCCCTGTCAGTCGGCCCCGCGGGTTTGGCTGCAGATCCTCCTCCCGCTCCCCTAGGACGAGAGCCAACAATGGGGTCATGGAGTCCTGGGGAATCCCTCGGATAGAGGAGCATTCCTGTCACCACTGACGACAACGCTTGCCTTCTGAGGGCACCCGGGAAGGTCAGGCCCCCGTGACCACCCTTCCGTGGCTGCACGTTTGTTCGTTCAGAGATGCGTGTGCCCCACAGGCCGCTGTGCACTGGGTGGGAAGAGGAGAGCAGCCAGCTTGGGGAATCTCCGCCAGGGCGCCCCGTCCCCCCCACATACACTGTGCTCGCCCAGCGGCTGATAACGGGGGAGCCCTGCCTGCGTCCACGCCTCCATCGATCATCCGCCGTCCCTGGACACAGGTGTCACAGGAAGCTCCGGCAGAGAGAGATGGTGTCTGCGGCTGGGTATTCGGACAGAACATGGGCCAAGCTGGAGTCATTCCTGCTCAAGTGTCTGCTCTGGAGAGTCTGGGCTTGGAAAGTCCCCACTTGTGGGCCCCACGACCTACTTGTTGACGGGACCCTCCTCCACACAGGTTGGCAGGAGACCCCGCCACCTGGCACGTCTCCTGGGAGGGCCCTGGACATGACTCCCTGAGTTCTGAGGGCCCGCTCCGTCTGGGATGCCTGTGTGCAAACCTGGGCCCTTGGTGCTCATTTTAGTAAAATATCTTGGGGTTAGGCTGTGCTGTCTGAGGCTTCCTTCTTCTTCCTCCCCACAGTCTCTGAAGGTCAGAGTCCGCCCTCATTCCATCATTTGTCCTTTGGAATGTTCTTTGTCGTGGTTCATTCTGAAGATCCTGTTTCAAGGACGTGTGTTGTGTGAAAGTGTACAAGGTGTATGGACATTGAGAGATGTTTTCCACCCACAGACACAAACTACAGAGGGATCCCTAAGGTTTTTGTAGCTTATAAGGCTCCTAAAAATATATAAATAGAACAATTGTTCATGGTAAATTGCTCTTGTATCTTGCAATCCAATGTAGATTTTCTCCTAGGTATTGTGCTGAAGTAAAGCCTCCAAAGCATATACAAACAGACAAATCAGTGGCAGTGGGAGCTGATGGTGTCATCAGAACCAATAGCGGGATTCAGATCATACCCCATTCTTCCCTCCCCATTGTTACCTGGACACTGGCTTTGCTGGATGCCTTTGCCGTCCCAGAAAGCAATGGACATTATACTCTCCTGTCTGGGTACTTCTGATAAATACGTGTTCAGTAGCCTGGGGTTCATGTTTTCCAGGCATTCCCCATTGGTTACCCTGCAGGCAAATATTGAGAATCTCTAGATAAAATTGACATTAAAATTGACATAGTTTGCTCCAATGATATTTGAAGAACCCACATAAAGGAACTGAACAAACATAATTGCATTGTACTCTAATGTGTTCAAAACTTAAACTTTAAATTATATATAGATAAAAACGAGGATAAAGCTTTTCCCCTGAGTTCAAAAACAAGGCAAGAATATCTTCTCTCAACCCCTTTTCAACTTACTATTATAGGTTCTAGTTAGTGTAGTATAGCAAGAAGTGGAAATACAGGCACATAGTTTGGAAAAAAAATAAATATTCCTGTTATTATTTGCAGATGACATAACTGTCTACATAGAAAATTCCAAGGACCCTATGACAAAACTCACAACAAGTTATAATACGTTACTTTAGCAAAGTCTTAGAATAAAAGATCAGTATAATATGCAACTGATCATATTACCATAGACTAGCAACAAACAATTGGAAACCAAAATTTAAAACCTATACCATAGTTCCCTCCAAAATGAGATGTTTGGTATAATATTTTAAGAAATATAGAGGACCCGGACAATGAAACTTATAGAACTAATGAAAGCAAGCAAGACTAAGTAAGTGCAGAGAGGTATTGTTTTCATGGATGGGAAGAGTCGATGTAGGAAATGTTAATTCCTCCCAAATTGATTTACAGGCTTAAAATGCAATTCCTATCAGCTCCCAGTAGGACTTTTCTTTGGTCAAAATCAACAAACTTATTCTAAAACTTATATCAAAGGGCAAGGAATGTTGAGCAATGAACTTGTGGATTAGGACAGTCCAAGATCTTGTTTCCCCACAGAAATGTCACAAGACACAAAACAAAAAAAGCCCCAGAAACTTTTGAACCAACTTTATAGGAGCTCTGGAAAATAGTCATATGTTTCCAGTGACCGGCACATGCCCAATCAAAGAAAGAAGCAAGTTTTGTGGCACTGTTACCTGCCCCCAGGCCCCCGCCCCAGCCCCAGCATGGCCATGGTTCCTGGTTCCCCTCCTCCGGCCAGCAGCAGCTTGGTTCCTGGTTCCCCTCCTCCAACGTGAGGGAGCAGACCAGACCTCATTTACAAATAATTGTGTGCCATCATTCTCGTCTGTCTGGGGGTTCCTGAAGGCCTGATGCCAGATGTTCGTGTCTGTTTGCACCGCTCAGACACAGGTGGGAAAACGAGTGGGCGCTGCCCGTAAACTACAAGGCCACTCTGAACCAACAGACACCTGACTCAGGAGGCTCTGTACAGATATGCAACAGACCATTTCAAGCCCAGGAGATAGGCTGATGGTGAGACTTTGGGAAATTAGGACTTTCAAAAGCAGTGTGTACACAGGGGAATTTAGGAAGCCATGTGCAGGACAGGCAAGACTCGTTCAGGAAACTCCTGACAAGTCCCCAAGCTTCCACCCCAAGCTGACCCCAGGCCCAGAACAAGCCTAGCTAAGTGAGGCACAAGGATCCCAGCAGTACCTGAGGAGGAGGCTGTTCCCTCTTACTGACTAAGTGTACAGGGGACCCGGGGGGGCCCTGGAGTTGGGGGGTACAGGGCACTTGGGTGGGGTCCCCTGCAGTCTCAGGGTGCAAGAGACTCGGGTGGGGTCCCCTGCAGTCTGGGGAGGTGCAGGGGACTTAGGTGGAGTCTAGGGAGTCTGGGGTGCAGTCAACCTGAAGGTGGTTGCAGGAGTGTCTCTGGTTGCAGAAGACATGGACCACTGCAGTTATAACCTGGGTCACAGGAGACTGAAAGGGGGTCACAGGGGTATCTAGGAGCACAGAGAGAACTTGGAAGTGATCACAGGGTATGGGGGGCACCAGCGGCTTGTAAAGAGTCACAGTAGTTTCTGGGGGCATGGAGGGCATGGGAGGGTCTCCAGGGATTTGGGGTTCATAGCAACCTCGAAGCAAAAAGTTGTGTCAAAGAACAGGGTCTTTGGAGGAGTTGCAGGACCCATGGAGCCCACAGCAGCATTGGGGTGGATGCAGGGGTGTTGGGAGGAGCCCCGGCAGTGTCAGGGTGGATGGGGGTGCTCAGAGAAGCCCCAGCAATGTCGGGGTGGATGAGGGGCTGGGAGGAGCCCCAGCAGTGTTGGGGTAGATGGGGGGCTGGGAGGAGGCCCAGCAGCATTGGGGTGGGTGGGGGTTGCTGGGAGGAACCCCAGCAGTGTTGGGGTGGATGTGGGCTCAGAGGAACCCCAGCAGTGTCGGGGTGGATGGGGGGCTTCGAGGAGCCCCGGGCAGTGTCTGGAGGTGTTGTGACATGTATGGGCACACAGAGGATGTGGGAGGAATCGAGGCATGTGTGGGGCAGCAGAGAACTGGGAGAAATCACAGGAGATTCACCACCCAAAGTCTGCTGAGGCTGAAGAGGAGCTGTCCACAGGACTGCATTCTCATTGGGAGGCTCTGGGTAGAAAATCCATGCCCAAGCTTGTCCTTGGTCGCAGCACAATTCAGTTCCATGCAGCTGACTCTCTGAGGTCCTGGTTTCCTCCTGGCATCCTCAAGGGCCAATCTCAGCTACATGAGACCACCACATCCCTTGCCACGTAGCCCCACCATCTTCATGCCAGCAACATGAAACCCTCTCCTGCTCTGAACTCAGACTGGGACAACATCACTTGCTTTCCTGGGTCCAGTGTGCAGGTGGCAGATCATGGGACTTCTCATCCTCCATAATCATGTGAGCCAATCCCTCATAACTGATCATTCTGTGTCTCTCTGTCTTTGTCTGTCTGTCTTTCTCTCTCTCCTGATTCCTATTAGCTCTGTTTTTCTGGAGAACCCCAACAAATACAGCAGTCACTATGAAAGTCACTAAAAATATAGTTAGAGGATTAACAGAGGAATTAGATGGCACAATAAAAAATGTGGAGAAGAAAGAAGTAGACAAGTAAAAGTGGGGAAAACATAAGAGACACACAGAAAACAAGTAGCTAACTGGAAAATGTAGTTCCAGCCACATCAGTAATCACCTAAGTGTGAAAAGTCAAACACTCCAATTTAAACATAGAGACTGATGGACCATATTTAAAAAGCAAGGTCCTTATAAATATGGTCTCTAAAAAATAAGAAATTGGAGTAATCCAACTTTGAATGGAATATGTAGAACTTTTATTTGCAGAGGACATGATCCTCTATGTAGAAAATTCCAACGAACCCACCAAAACAAAACAAAAGAGACTAGAATTAATAAAGGTTGAAGATCCTGAGAAGCAATATTTCTTACAAAAGGTGATGGTATTTCTGTATGCTAGGTATGGAAATATGAAAAGAAATTAACAAAATAATTCCTTTCACAATAGTATGGAAAATAGTTATAAATTTAATAAAGACGTACAAGTGAAAACTATAGAATATTGCTGAGAGAAGTTAAAGTTCTAAGTAAATAGAGAAACATTTCTTGTTCATGGATCAGGAGATTTCATATTATCAAGAAGGAAATTCTCAAATTCACCTATAAATTTAATCCAGTCCCTGTGGAAATCCTAGCAGATTTTTTAGAGGTATAAATTGACCAGCTGATCCTATAATATATATGGGAATGTTAAAGGCCTAAAATAGCCTAAATTGTTTGGAAAAACAACAAATCTGGAAACCTTGCACTATCTGCTTCAAAATTTGCTACAGCGCATGTTCGTCTAGACAGTGGAAATCTGGCATAAGAGTGCACGTCTAGGGCAACGGCACAGAAGTGGGAGTGCAGAAATAAAATCTTATCTTTTATTATAAACTGATTTTCCACAAGGGCCCCAAACCAATTCAGTGGGGGAAAGACTAACCTTTCCTTTTTTTTAACTGAGAAATAGTGCCTGGACAAATGGATGAGTCACAAGAAAATCCAAAAAAACCAACCAACAGAAAAAACTTACATCACTCTAGACAATAGTGAACTAAAGATCAACCCAAATGTAATTTCTCAATGAAAACAGTAGAAAGCCTTCATGATCTCTTAGATATGACACCAAAAGCACGATCCATAGAAAAACCAAATTTACTAGACGTCATCAAAATTAAAAATTTTTGCTCTCCAAAAGCCACTGTGGAAAATATGAAAAGACAAGCCAGAGACTTGCAGAAAATATTCACACATCACATACCTGGTAAAGATCATAGATAACTCGATAAAAAGACAAACAAAACACTTTCTGAAATAGGCAAAAGATCTGAAGGACATTTTCACTAAAGAAAACACGCAAGCAGCAATGAAGCCCATGCAAACACGTTCGACCTCGTTGGTCGTTAGGAGGAAGCTGATTAAAACTATAGGAAGACAGAGCCTCACGCCCTGAGGAGGACTATAATAAAAAGACAAGTGTTGGCAAGCCCGTAGAATAAACTGGAAGTTTCCTACACGAGAGCAGGAATTGAAATGGTGAAGATTCTTTGGAAAGCAATTTGTCAGCTTATAGAAACTTGAAGATAAACTTATGTACAACCCAGCACTTTCAGTCCTTTCCCAGGAATCTACCCAAGAAAAATGAAAATAGATGTCCACATGAAGACCAAGCCATGAATATTCATAGCAGCATTGTTTGTAATATCCAAAAACTGCAAACAGGGACGCCTAGGTGGCCCAGTCGATTAAGCATTGGACTCTTGATTTTGCTTGGCTCAGGTCATGATCTCAGGGTCATGAGATCAAGCTGGGTGTGGGGCTCTGTGTTGGGTAGGGAGTCTGCTTGAGATTCTCTCTCTCCCCCTGGGCTTGCATGAACCCTCAGATGTGCACTCTCTCTCTCTTAAAAAAAAATTGCAAACAGGGACACCTGGGTGGCTCAGATGGTTGGGTATCTGCCTTCGGCTCAGGTCATGATCTCAGGGTCCTGGGACTGAGTCCCACATCGGGCTCCTTGCTTAGCGAGGAGCCTGCTTCTCCCTCTGCCTGCCACTTCCCCTGCTTGTACTCTCCCTCTCTCTCTCTGGCAGATAAATAAATAAAATCTTTAAAAAAAAATTGCAAACAATCCAAATGTCCATCAACTGGTAAATGGATCATCAAAACATGGTACAACTGTACCAAAACAGAATACCTGTATGTGCCCCAGCACGCACAAACTTCCAGAATAACGTGCTAATGTTGCCAAACAGAACCAGTTCTGAACTCAGGTTCGGCGGCTCGCCTCTCAAAAATCAACACTCGAGAGACAAGTGATAGTGGGAAAAGAGAGGTCGCTTTATTCAGAAAGCCAGCAACCGGGGAGGAGGGCGGACTAACGTCTGGAAGGCCACCGTCCCCATCCAGACCAAGCGGGGAGGGTCTTAGAGGGGGAGGTGCGGGGGATGGGGAGGGGGCGGCGAGCGGGAGACACGGTGCCCAGGCGGTCGGCCCCATGTCCACGGGACCCTGACAGACTTGCTGGCATCCATGGCAGGTGTTTTTGAATGTGGTCTGGCCTTATCTCTTGGGAGAGACTGGTCCTTCACTCTCAAGGCCAGTGATACGCAAATCCAAGGAGAGCAGGTTAGTTTGCTGCGGACGACGGGACACAGGGCAGCAAGAAAAGGGGTGCGTGAGCCTGAGGCCGGCTCCCTGCTGAGGCCGCGGGAGTGCTGTCCCACCAAGTGAAAGAAGCCACACTTGAAAGACTCCATAGTATGTGATTCCATCTGTGTGAAATGTGCAGAAAACACAACTGCAGACAGACATAAAGCAGATCGCTGGCTCTGTAGAACCAACGGTGGGAGCAGAAATCAGCTGCAAATCTGGTGACTGTTACACCGTTCTCGAAGTTGACTGAAAATCATTCAATTGTCCCTTCTAATGAGTGAATTTTATGGAATATAGATTATATCTCCATAAAGCTGTTTAAAAGGTGGACAAGAAATCTTGTAGCTGCATGACTTAGTGTTTCTATGGTTTCCATTCACCCCATGCAATCCTCAGTCTCTTACTGGCTTCTTTTTATTTGTCTCCTTTCTGTGTTTTGGTCTTTAATTTTGTTCTACATGTTTCTTTCAATGATTTTATCCACTCCCAAGGCCTCAACTGTTGCCTTGAACCTTAAGTACTCTCTATCTCCAACCCCAGAACACTTCCCCAAATTCTAAATTGGTACTTCCAAATGCCTGTTGGACAAATCCAGCTGAATACTCCACAGAAACGTCAACCTCAATTCATGTAATATGGTCCTCAGGGTCCACCTCACCTTCACCATCAACCCTAGATTCCCTTTGACAAAGATCATGAATTACTCTTTCAGCCTCCACAGTGAAATATAAATGCTTCCCAACACTAGTGTAGTCTCACCAAAACCTAAGTGTGGATTTTTTTAATTTATTGAAGTATAAGTTCTTAACTAGTAAGTAAAGCTGGGTGCCCCTCAGCTTCTGTTTTCATTAAATAACAATAGTAGCTATTAAACTGATATTTCAGGGGCACCTGGGTGGTTCAGTCAGTTAAGCGGCCGACTCTTGGTTTCGGCTCCGGTCATGATCCCAGGGTGGTGAGATTGAGCCCCACATCCAGCTCCTCTCTGGACATGCAGCCTGTTTAAGATTCTCTCTCTCCCTCTGCCCACCCCCCCCCAACCGCTCACACACTCTCTCTCTCCAAACAACAACAGAAAATTGATATTTCAGTGTATACTGTGTGCTGGTCTAATTCCCTTACTCTCTCGACCCTAGGCTTGGTGGTGAATAAAATAATTTCCCTGTACACCCAAGGAAGTAAGTGTGAAATGATAGGATCTCACTCCGAATACCAACAAATGCAGGATATTACATCACAGTACACAATAGGGAGCATGTCTGACATTTGGATGTTCCCCCCTTAGCTACAGAGAAATCACTGATTCACAAAGGTTTAGGGGTCTTTATCCAGCTCAGAAATTGTTTGCAATTTGATTTTTTTAATTTAATTTTATTATGTTATGTTAATCACCATACAATACATCATAAGTTTTTGATATGGTGATCCACGATTCATTGTTTTCGTATAACACCCAGTGCTCCATGCAGTACGTGCCCTCCTTAATACCCATCACCAGGCTAACCCATCCCCCACCTCCCTCTCCTCTAAAACCCTGTTTCTCAGAGTCCACAGTCTCTCATGGTTCATCTCTCCCTCCGATTTCCCCCCCTTCATTTTTTCCTTCCTTCTCCTAATGTCCTCCATGGTATTCCTTATGTTCCACAAATAAGTGAAACCATATGATAATTGACTTTCTCTGCTTGACTTATTTCACTTAGCATAATCTCGTCCAGTCCCAGCCATGTTGATGTAAAAGTTGGGTATTCATCCTTTCTGATGGCTGAGTAATATTCC